TGTGTGTGTGTGTGTGTGTGTGTGTGTGTGTGTGTGTGTGTGTGTGTAACTACATGATTTATTTATGCCATGGCACATCTGTGTAAGTCATAGAACATAGAACTCTTAAATGTTGGTTCTGTCCTTTCACTGTGGGCTCTAGAGATCCAGATTAAGCCATTTTTGGGCTTAATAGCAAGTGTGTTTGCCCACTGGGTGTTTGTTTGTTTGTTGTTTGTGTTTTGAGACAGGGTTTCTCTGCAGCCCTGGCAGTCCAGGAACTCTGTCTAAAAACCAGGCTGGCCTCGAACTGGGAGAGCTGGGATTCAAGATGTGTCACCACTTCCCAGCAGGGCCTGCTATTTTAAAGATACTGTAACAGTCCACTGGAAAAAGTTACAGACCACCAGAAACACCAAGCCAGATAAGAGTCCTTTTATTTAATTTGGTGACTTATGTCAGACTCAAAGAACTTGCTAAGTTAAGAATTACAGAGTTTATAAAGACAAAAAACACAATCACATTGCACTAGCTCCAGGCTAGGGGAGTTTTTACAGTGGGGTTATTTAATCCCAGCAAGGAAGGAGGAACCCTTCGATCTGTTAAGCATTTTACAGGCTTCATTTCCCAAAAGATGGGAGAACCCCTGCTTTGTTCTGTCAGGCAGAATGTGGCTCCAGAGGGGAGCAGGTGCGGAGTCAGGGTAGCCTGACCTCTCCTGGACCACTTCACTAGGGTTTCAGTCTATACCTAAGGCTGGCCTTGAACTCAATGACAGTCTTACCGTCTCGGCCTCCCAAGTGCCGGGACTACAGGCTTAGCTGTAGAACACAGATGTTTGCTGGCAACTGACTTCACAAGTCCCACCACAGCCCCTATGCCCGGGGATCACCACCAGGTGAAGTTAAACACCCAGAAGTGTGTGTAGGGATCCTTATTCAGGTACCTATGAGAGGACACCCGATACCCCTGGGCTCTGATGTCCTTCTCCAGGCAGTACACGAAGTCCTCCGCCACAGGGCCTACCTTCCAGGGCCCAAACTTGACAACTGGTGTCTTTTGGGCCTCCAAGATATGCAATGGCTCCACGCATTTCGCATCTTCCTCCTCTGCGCGCACCACACACACCATGACCTTGGATGAGCGCATCGCCACGGCCTCTGCCCGAGCCAGATGCAGCAGGACCGCCAGGTTCTCTCTGTAGTTCGGCACGCCCATCAAGAACTGCATCCGAGCCACTTGCTCACCAAAGATCTGTGGCGTGTCCTCCAAAGCCTTGACCAGAAGATGGATTTGGTAGAACTTAGCCTCATGGTATACCTCAGGAACATACTCCTTGGGCACCTGCCCAGTGCGTAGGTAGTCCAAGAGGAGCCCAAAGTAGGTGCCAGGACGATCGATGAAGAAGCGGCCCTGGGCGTCTCTGTGGTGTCTGGCTGACCTAGATAAGATCTCTGGAAACTTTGAGCCTGGGTGTTTCATCAGGGTGCCCATGGTGGTGGTATAGAGCTGCCCCCCGACATTTAGCTCCACAACCTGCAGACATAAAGAGCGAGTGAACCGACAGTGCCCCCTCCAGGAGACACACAGCTACAACTCAGTAGAGGAAATCGCTGTCTGCTGCCACCAGCCAACAAGCAAAATCCAAGCGATGGGGACAGTCCTTCAGACCGAGGTTTGCACGACATCGCTCTTACCCTGTCTGTGGCATTGCCTCTTAGGAGTTAAGTGTTCTTCTGAAGACAGCCAAAGGCAAGCAAGCTGCTGGGGGTGGGGAGAAGCACGGAATTGCCATGGGGCCATTTCTGCTATCTCGAAGGGCAAAGGCAGAGGCAGACCCAGACCAGGCAGCTGAGGAAAATAAGCTCAGAACCTATGTCCTTCTGCCTCCCCTAAACTTCAAGGCCTCTTGATAGGGCTGTTTGGTTAACGATGAGGTCACCTCTCTGAAGCAGACAGTTAATCAAGCAGCTACAGACTAACCCTTGAATAAATCAATATGTTGGCATTTGTCTTCCTCTGAAACTCAGCTCCTAAGTCCTCTCACTGTCTCCATATGACAGATGGAGGAAACGATGCAAAAGACCCAGAGAGCTAGGAAGCAGTGCAGTGCGGCTCAGGTCAAATGGCCATCAATCAGTCTAACTGACACGGAGGGTAGGTGCTCCAGCTCAGCCCCCTCCTGCCTCACCGCAGCCACAGTTAGCTCTACGCCTGGGGAAGAAGTTCACTGTCTCTCTCTACCTTAAGCTTCAGCGTCTGTGAAAAGGGGCAGCGAAATGGATACAGAGAACTCTTAAATCCTCCCAGGCCTCAAGGTCTCACTTCAGAAGTCCTTTCTGAAGCTAACCAGTTTCCGAGCTGGCCATGGTGGCACAGACATAAGTCAGCACTCAGGAGGATCATGAACTCAATGCCAGCCACACAACAAAACCAAGTTTTAAACAAAACCACAGAAATAGTTTCCTACTCTAACCCCCGCGTCCCATTCTTTTGTTTATCTATAAGACCTCAGCCCTGTGCACAAGCTTCTTAGTTTTGTTCCTTGTTTTAAAATTTCTTTCTCACCAGACTGTGCAAATTTTAGCTATCCTATCTCATCCATAAACACTGCCCAGTGTGTTTCTAGCAAGATGAACTTATTTCCACTCTCTGGAGGAAGTCCCTCTCTTTCTTGTGGCTCCCCCTAGCCTTTACTGCCCGTCCCCCTGCCAACACCGTCCTTGGTGGTGGGAGAGCCTGTGGTGACTGGCTGGAAGAGACTTGGTCTAGTGGGGGAACCTGCTGGGTGTCCAGTCAGTGATGGCTAAGAAGAGCAGGGAGGGACCTGACTCCACTCTCACCGGGTTCAGTGAGAAGGTTCCCTTCACATCTTATACTGCTCTACCAGTGCCCATGTGCTTCCTTAGAGGACCCTCAGCTGAGTGAGTATATGACGCTTCATTCAGATGTTTTCTAGGCCCCTCAATATCTCTCTCTAGCCCCCAACACTGACCTCTCCTATTGCTTTCCATTTTAGCTGAGCCAGAAGCCTAGGATAATGTGGCTTCTCCTCCATCTCTGTCTCCAACCCCGCTGAGTCCTGGCAGTTTTCTCAGTTCCGTGGTTGCTTACCCCTTGCTAGGGCCTACCTTTGGATCCATTCTGCACATTGAAACCAGAGTTCTTTTCTCTGAAGCAAACCTGAGTCTCTCATTTCCTGCACTAAACACTTGAATGACTCTTTACCATTTCTTGAGTTTCCCAAGGCCTCTTTGCAAACAGGCCTGCTGCTTGGCCTCTAGCAAACAAAGAACAAAATTGCCTACTATACCCTACCTTCTATCCAGGCAGGCTGGGGCCCCAGGCCTCTAAGAGTTTCTTATAGCTTACCTTCCCATCTCTGCCTCCACCCATCTCTGTCTCGCTCTTTTCTTTTCTTTTCTTTTTTTTTTTTTTTTTGAAACAGGGTTTCTGTGTAGTCCTGGCTGTCCTAAAAATCTTGTAGACCAGGCTAGCCATAAACTCAGATTCACCTGCCCCTGCCCCCCAAATGCTGGGATTAAATGTGTGTTTGTCCCTATGGAATCTACTGTCTTTCAAGTTAGTTCCCCAAGGTCCCTTCCAAAAGGGTAGTCTCAGGGTCCTAGAGTGGTCCGTAGTTCTGCTAGGACAGTGGCTGCTCCCTTGGAATCCCATTCGTTTATCCTCCATTAGACTGTGTGTTCTGAAAAGGGAACACTATTCCCAGCCCATAGTCACATGACCAGCACCCACTGGCAAGACTCAGCACACCAGAGACACTCAATGAATACCTGTTACATTGAATGAACTTCACCCTTGACACTGATCCACGGGAGAACCTGGTATTCTGATAAATGCAGATCTTGCCCTACCTGGCCTCAAGCTCAGTGCTGGTGAAAGACTCAGACTGGCCTTATAACTGATATTTTTGAATTCTCTCAGTGCTCTTCCAGAGAACTGGAGAATGTAACAGCCCCTCCTGACCCCAGCCATCTGCATGGATGGAGATAAGGAGAGGACCTCCACCCGGTTACAGAAGGAGATAGCAGTGCATCCTAATTCCCCTCCCAAAAAGCCCCTTACCTTCTGACTAAAGGCACGTAGCCCCGTTTCTCGGAGAAACCACAGGATGAGCAGATTGCTTTCCCCCCTTTAACAATGGCCTAGTCTGACCACAAAATGTACTAATCAGCTTTAACAATAGCTGAATCTGCACATATCAGAAACCCCAGATGTCTAGCTGACCTGGTGCCCACAACAGACCCTATATCCGCTCCCATGATGTCAGACCTGTAACCTCCTCGCCTACCCCTTTAAAAACCGGAGGCTACTGAGAGTCGGGGCTGACTCTAGCCTGAATGTAGAGTTAGCCCCAGCATGCTGGAGTAAATAAAAACCTCTTGCTAATTGCATCGACTGCGGCCTCCGAGTTTCCTTCACAGCAAGCCTCTTTGGTAGTTAGACCCCCTGGTGGGCCTAACACTGGCTCCATGGATAACCTTTGCCCAGGAACTCATTCAAGCACTTCTTGAGCAGGGAAGAGCAGCCCTGAGTGCGGAACCCCTCGACACTCGCCGGCAGCTTTGAGTATGCCAACAGCAGCATACTCATGACCCCACGGAAAGAGCCACCTTCCCTACTCTCCTTCTTCGGGATGGCACTCAATCCCGATGAGAATTAGAATTTTATGCTCTCAGAGTGTTCCCAGGCTCAGTGTTAGCTGAGTGAGGCAGGTGCTTTTAGGGGCTAGCTTCTACACTAACGAGCTGTCTTTTAGTTAAACTAAGACTCTGGAGAAACTCGTTGAGTTTTCTGATTTATTCTTTTAGGCAGCTCAGCGTAAACTTGGTTCATTATGATACAAAGCTGAACGTGTCCCCAAAGAATTCTTCTTAGCCACCTTTTCTTTTCTTTTTCTTTTTTTTAAAGACAGACTCCAGGACTGTAGGTATGTGTGGTCGAGTCCAGTTAAGGAATGATTATTATTTGTTGCTCCTGTTTTTTGGCAGTGCTGGGGATTGAGTCCAGGTCCTCAAGAGTGTAGCAACCTGTCTCTACTCCTGAGCTACATCCTGGGCCTAGCTGGCCTCTTTAAATATTTTGATATGTGATCTATGAACTAAAACTGAGTGTGTGCTTTTCTGTATGAACATGTATGGTCCTCCTCACACTTCCTTCTTGGGTGTGCTTTCAGAAAAGCTCCAGTGTTAGCCTCATGAACTTAGTTCATTCATCTTTCTTCTTTTTCCCCTTGGTGTGTGTCTGGCTTTTCACAGCAAAGCCCTCTCACGGGGTCCACGAGAGAAGGCAAGCAAGCATGAAGGAGTCTGGAGCTGGCCAGTGCGGGAGTCCGCAGGATCTTCTGTCTGGGCTGGCTGAAAAGCCTCGCCCACCAGGTGGCAGAGAGAAGCAGCCACCCCCATCCCCGCTTCCAGGACCACACCAAGCCAGAGGTTTTCAGTGGGGGCATACACAGGAACTAACACAGGCTACGGGAGCCAGGAAAGAAAAAGCCAAATGAGAGCCTGCACAGAGCAAGGTGGAGCCGCCGGAGGCGGGAATGCGCTGGTATCGAAGTTGCTTACTGACAGCAAAAAATGCTTTCCGGGGGCGGGGGTAGGGCGGAGGTGGGGGCAGCGACGACTGGAAGGTAGGAGTCGGAGAAAGAAACGGAGCTAGGAAAGCCCACAGCAGGAGGTGGGGCCTTCAGGACAAGGAGCAGCCTGGGCGCCGGGGTGCACTTACGAGGTGCGGGTCAGGGCACAGGGTCTGGGACTCCTGGCTGTGCTCTTTGAGTTAGTTTCCGGCCTGAGACTCGTGGCTGTGTTCCTTGATCTGGTTTGCGGGTGGAGACACCTGGCTGGGCAGCTTGAGTTGGTTTGCAGGCAGGCTCATCCCGGCGGGAAAGACCAGCTCGCACTGACTACACAACCCTGCCTTGAGTAGAAACCTTATGGGCGGGGAACACAGTCCTGCCACGCGTAGGTAACTTTCCAGCCGGAAAGGCTGGTGACTCCCCGCCCCTGAGGAGCTCTATGACCTTACCTCCCTCCTGCCTTTTTGGTAAAACACTTTTAGTTAGTGCTTCTTTAACTGGATTAAGGAAGTGCTCTAAGGTAGAGCACTTCAATAGACCCCATTGGTTCTTTGAGCTGTCGTCAACTTCAAGTAACCTATAACTTCTCAGGGAAGGAGCCCCAGGAGACAAATCCTGGAGCTCTTGGAGGGTAGACTATCAGACCAGAGACTCTAAAATGGTAACTCAAAAGAGGAAAAACCTGCCACTCAAAGGCAAATGCTGTGAAACTTGCCTGTTTCATTCTTTAGTTCTGTGTGAGAAAAGTCTTCTCTAAAAGTATTTACAGGAAAGCACAGATAGATCTAGAATCCACCCAGTATGGTCATCATCAGCAACAACCAGAAACCTAATTCAAATGTAACTGTCTAGATAGTGCGATCACACATTTGGCAAAGAAAATGAATCCTGAGACTGCGGCATAGCTCAGTGGTAGCACACTTGCTTAGCGTGTATGAAGCCAACAAAATAAACACACACACACTCACACACACACATCACAAGAAAGAAAGGAAGGAAGGAACAAAAGAAGGGCAGAAGAAAGGAGGGAGAAAATGAAGTCCTCCCTGAATGAAAGTATAATCAAACCAAGTTTCAAAGAATGTACACAGACAGCAAGCAGGCCACCAAACAAACTCACAGTCCAAAAGCACAAACCACAACAGGACACAAGGCATCATGAGGAAAAGCCAACAGAGACACGCTCAGGCCCTTACACACTGAGTTGCTGGGCATCCAGTGCAGGCTTATTTCGTGTCATTAAATAAATAAAAGAGGGATTTAAAACGTGGGTAAACTGGGCTGCAGGCATGTCTAAGTGGTAGAGCCCTCAACTAGCCTGCACCAGGCCCTGAGCGCTATCCACACATCCACAAGAACAAGAACATAACATTTAAAGACCTGGGAGATTTTTTTTTAAAGCCAAATAGAAACACTAAAAATGAAAAACTAAAGCAGCTGAAAGAAATCATCATGACAGTTGAGAAGGAATTAAATAAACACGCTTGAAGGGCCAATGGTGTGTCCTATTTTTGACCTATACATTTGGAAAATGTAACAGCAAATTGCCTGCGCTGGTAGGGTGCAAGAAAGCAGATGCTCAGACCTAGATGGTTGGAATGTGAACTGTTGTGAACTTTAGATGTTAATATGGCCATCTCTACAAAAGAGGGGAAAAAACACTTTTGGAAATCCATACAACAGATTTTTTTTTAAGCACCATTTTGAAGGGATATGTGAATGAATACATTTACCACTGATCTGTTTGTGTTAGTAAAATTAGATAGTTAATAGTTGACTAAATCACAGCCTGTCTATGCCATGCAGATATGTGCCTGTTAAAAAGGAAGAGATAGGGGCTGGGGGTGAGGGGGAAATGGCTCAGCAGTGAAGAGTGCTTGCTGTTCTTTCAGAGGACTAGAGTTTGATTCCCAGCACCCACATCAGGATGCTCACAGCCACCTGTTGACTTCAGCTCCAGGGAACCTGGTGCCCTCTTCTACCCTCCCCCAACACACACGGGCACGTGAACATGTGCACACATACCTGTTATCCCAGCACTTGGGAGGTAGAGGCCGAAGAATAGGTGATCAGAAGTTCATGGTCTTCCTTATCCTTGGCTACATAGCACATTTTAGTCCAGCTTGGGGGTACACAAGACCCTGTCTCAGGACAAAGAAAAACAAAAGACAAGAAAGAAAGTAGGTCTGGCTGGAGTGATGTCTCAGTTGATAAAGTGCTTGGTTTTTACAAGCATGAGGACCTAAGTTATACCCTGGCTGGCTGTGGTGGCACACACATGTAATCCCACTACTTGGGGGAGGCAGAGGCAGGCAAATCTTTGTGAGTTTGAGACCAGCCTGGTCTACAAAGCAAGTCCAGGACAACCAAGGCTACACAGAGAAACCCTGTCTCAAAACAAAACAAACAAAACTCAGTATGGCTGAGGGTGGTAGTGCACCTTTGATACCAGCACTGAGAAGGCAAAGGCTGGGGATCGCTACGAGATGCAGCTTGTTCGGCATAGTGAGTTCCAGGTCAGCCAGGGCTATACAGTGAGACCCTGTCTCAAAAGCAAAAACAGAAACAACAACAATACAAAACAACAGAAACCAAAAATCAACACCTCAGTACCGTGGGACACGTTTGTAATGCCAGCACTAGCAGGAAGATGCTGGGGCCCGCTGGCTGCCGGTCTAGCCTAACTGATGAGGTGCAGGCCAAGGAGCGCCTCCTTGTAAAGACAGACGCATTCCCGAGGATGCCACCTGAGGCTGTCTTCTGCTACACACGTGTACGTGTGTGCATGCCCATACACAGACACACACAGCTCCACAAACATGTACACACACAGTTAAAAATAGTAGAATAGTAAGTATTTCAGCAATGATATGGCGGGAATCCACTGGTGAAAACCATAACAAACAGTTTCTATCTGCGTGTTAACAGCATGGTATATGGAAGACAGCGTGGGAAGACGGACCTTGATGGAGAAAATGCCTCCATCAGACTGGCTTGGAGACAAGCTTGTGTGTGTGAAGGTGGGGGGGTTCTTTATTGGTGACTGATGTGGAAAACCTCAGCCCACTGTGGGCAGCACCACCCCTGAGCAGGTGGTCCTGGGGGAAATAAGAAAACAAACTGGGAAAGCCCAGGGGAGGAAGCCAATTAAATCAAATGGATATAAGCAGTGTTCCTCTGTGGCTTTTGCTTTAGCTCCTGCTGCCAGCTTTCTGCCTTGAGTTTCTTCAGTGGCTTCCCTCAGTGGACTGTAGCTTGGGATAGATAAGCCAAATAAAAACTTTCCTCCCCAAGCTGCTTTTGATTATAGTCTTCATCACAGTAATAGAAAAAACAGTGTTAACAGTCATTATTCAGTTGGTTGGGTAGAGAAATAGAGACACCTTTTTTGTTGTTAATATACCTTTGTATTGACATTAGTTACAATAAAGGGGTAAAAAAAAAATTTAAAAAAAGCATTACAAGACAAATATAAGGCTTTTAAATGTGAGACTTCAGAGAAGAGGTGGCATGTAAGCTTGGTCTTGGTAGAGGAAGATGTTTGCTTGAGAGAGACCTGAATAGATTTTTGTTGCTGCTATTGTGGTGTTTGTTTGTTTGTTTGTTTTTAAGACAGGGTTTCTCTGTGTAGCCCTGGATGTCCTGGACTGGATTTGTAGACCAGGCTAGCCTCAAGCTCACAGAGATCTGCCTGCCTCTGGCTCCCTGAGTGCTGGGATTACAGGTGTGCGCCATCGAGCCTGGTGAATTTTTCTTTTTATTAGAGGATTATACAAGTGAAAGAGAGAAAGAGAAGGAAAACAAGCATGTGTTGAACAGTGGGGATTTTTTGTTTTTGTTGTTTTGCTGTTTGTTGTTTTGGGGTTTTGTGTTTTGTTTTGTTTTTGGTTTTGTTTTTGTTTTTTTGAGACAAAGTCTATGTAGTCCTGTCCTGGAACTCACTATGTAAACTAGGCTGCCCTTGAACTCACAGAGATCCACCTGCTTCTGCCTCCCTAGTACTGGGATCAAAGATGTATGCCACCATGCCCAGCTTAAATGTCTCTTATGTAATACCTACAAATACCTAAACATAGAAATATTCTTTTTGTTGTTGTTAAAGATTTATTCATTTATTATGTATATAGTGCTCTGTCTGCAGGCCAGAAGAGGGCACCAGATATCATTATAGATGGTTGTGAGCCACCATGTAGTTGCTGGGAATTGAACTTGGGGCTTTGGAAGAGCAGCCAGTGTTCTTTTTTTTTTTTTTAATTTATATATTATGTATGCAATGTTGTGTCTGTATGTATACCTGCAGGCCAAAAGAGGACATCAGATCTCACTATAGATGGTTATGAGCCACCATGTGGTTGCTGGGAATTGAACTCAGGACCTCTGGAGGAGCAGTCACTGCTCATAACCTCCGAGCCATCTCTCCAGCCAAAGATAGAATTTTATGGGCAAGGAAGTTTCCTTGAAAGCTTAAAGAAATTTTAAAGTTTCCTTAAAAGCTTGAAGAAATTAAATGAAGGCCACATAGCTGGTCATTTTCAGAGACAAGTCTGAACAAACTGTGACTCTCCATGACTATGGTGGGGTTGTCAGCTAGACAGACCTTAGGATGACCTTGGAATTGGCCTCTGGACTTGTGTGTGGATGAGAATATTACTTACATTGAGGTAAGAAGACTCACCCACTTTGAGTGGCGCCATCCCCTAGGCTAGGGATCTTCTATTAAATAAGACTGAGAAGTCAGCTGCGCCCTAGCCGGGATGTGCTTCTGTCACTGTGACCTCCCCACTGTTATAGACAGTAACCCTAACTGTGTGCCAAACATACCCTGTCTCTCTTGCCAGAGAATTTTATCACAGCAATAGAAAAGTAACTAAGACAATGGCTTTTCTCTCTAACTATGCAGAATTAATTGCTTTGTATCAGAGTGCATTGGTTTTTTGTTTTGTTTTGTTTTGTTTTTGTTTTGTTTTTGTCACTATAGCCAAACTTTCAAAGCTAGGTGTTTTATAAGGAAAAGAGATTCACTCAGCTTACAGTTTGGGAGGCTGAAAGATCAGAAGCCCCTGTTGATTCAGTCTCTGGTGAGGACTCCCCTGGCTGGGTCACATGATAGTGCATGACATCAAAGGATCATGTGTGAGAGAGAGACAGAGAGATCACATTTTACACCAAAACCCAGAGAGATACCAGAGAGGGGTCAGCAACAACCTCCTGCAAAGAGCTCCCACCTTTTAAAGGTTCCGCCCGGTCGCTAACAGCACCACACAGTACAAAGTTTCCAACAGGTGAAACTTTGGGGCACATACTCAGACTACATCCAAAACACAGCCCTGGCCAGGGGCTGAGCCTCAAACACCATCACTTGGCAAAAGGGTCCAAGCCGGGTAGAGGAGCCTGTGACCTCCTCAAGGTGTGCTCCCTTGCTTTCCCCTCCACACAGCACTATGC